TTAATTATATTTTAGATTTTTTATATTTAAAATAAAATGTTTATCATGTATTTGATTATGTTTATCTGCAGTTAGTTACACGAATTCAGATATGAAGCTTTAATAAGTTGTACTTACGCACAATATATTTGCAATCTTGAGTTTTAAGTAATATGCATTAATAAGCAGTACTTTATGCATAAAAAATGATTTTTAAGAGTTTTTGTCAAATACTTTATAATATAGTATAGATATACATATAAGAATACATATATCTTATTATGTTTTTCAACTTAAATCTTTTTCTCATCAGAACTCACTTCTGAATCAAAATTCAACTTTCTCAACGTAAAACTTTAAAAAAATTGAATTAGAAATTTATTATAAATCAAATTTGAGTATAAAAAATATTGTATTTATTTAATGGAATAATAGTTTGGCATATAAGGTGCTCCACTCATTCTTATCACTCCACTCTCTCGACAAGTTATTGGAAGCACAGTGCCAAACAAACCCTTCGAACTCAAATTGGCCATGGAAGCTCTGATTTCTCAGTTCACTTTTCTCTCCGATCAGTCACTCAACGATAAAAACTTCGATCCATCAACCATTGAAGATCTCATGAAACTATTTGAGCTCGAATCATACAAAGCATGGGCGGCGATGGAGCTCGAGCAAGAGGAAGAAGTGGCAGAGGCTGAGGATTCGATGCAAGAGGCGGAAGATTGCCTCGATGCCGCCATGGAAAGCGCGATGGAGGAGTTCAGGAGGTTCGAGGAAGAGATGGAGCGCGAATCGAACGAGGAGCTACAGGGATTGCTGTCGATCGGTGAAAGTGCAAGGAGGTTGGGGAGATCTATGGAGAGAGCGGCGAATTTTGCTTCAAACAAGTATATTGAGACGGCGTTGAATTCTGCAACGGCGTCAATGAGATCGGCGATGAAGACGATTTCTTCTAAATCGAAGAAAGTTCATCCTTCTTAGATGGATTATTTCAGTGGAATCGTAAGTTCCTGAATCAACTATCTGCAATTAATTTTGTCATTGTTGTTGTTATGGTATTTTTAGTCAATAAACCTGTGGAACCATATTTAGAATACTACTATATTTCTGTCAACAAAAATGTGTGAATAATTTCAACCAGTATTTTGAGAAAGACCTGCTGCTGCTGCTGCAATCCGTACAAATTTCATTAATCCTTTATCTATATTTCTAGAACCACATGATGCATTGATAAAATTTTCAGTCCAATTTCAAAATTTGCAAATCTTCGTTAAAATTGGAAGAACTTTGTAGCTTGGTACTTTGTGCCGAAAGTACGTTATTTATGGTATATGGATCGTTTAAATAAAATGATTAAATATCTTGAGAAGTAACAAATAAATGTTAATCACAAGAGTGGTGGTGTGTTAGTAATAGAACTAAGGAGTGTAGTGGAACATCCCGTCTTCTCTGGGTTCTAGTCATGACTTTAGCATCCTGTGGTCGGACTTGGGGCTGTTTGATAATTGTTAAATGGTTTGGTGTAGAATGATCAAGTGGTCAGAATGATTAAGAGACTCTCATGGAATAGTGCAAAATGAAATGTAATTGTTTACAGTGAAATTAGGGCACTGAATGGTTAAGGGAGACATATGATACAAAATCATTCAGAGGGTCTTAGAACCATTAAGAGACAAACTTTTTTTTGTGCCAAACAATATTTACATCTTAACAATTTAGAGGTTGCCTCTTAATGTAACTATTAAGAGGTAAATAAACAACCCATTGGTCTCAGACGACCGTAATTTTCAAGGATTCAGTCTAGGCAATTGCTTAAATGAACCTTTGTAAAAAAATGTTAAAGGGAATGTTCGTATGTCAATTATTGAAAAAAATGGAAATCTATATATATATATATATAAAGAGAGAGAGAGAGAGAGAGATAGATATTAAAAAAGAGAGAGATAGATATTAAAAAATACATATGTGAATCGACTCATTTCATGATGAAAAATGAATTATAAGTAGATAAAACAACATATTTAAGATAATAAACATGCAGAGAATATTTTGATTTACTAAAGTATCAGCTAAACCAATTTGACTAACCCATGATTTTTTTGGGGGAGGGATTGTACTTTGATTTGGGTTGGATTGAATTGAGATTTTTAAAACCACAAACATAGATTGAGTCATTCAAATGCATTCAACCCGATCAACCCGATCCATATGCTGATATGCACTCTAGTTAGAACTCTTATGGATAATTTACTTTATTCAAAAGAATGTATCTACTCTCTTTCAAAAAGTTTAAAAAATTATCCATTCAAATCTATTTCAAAGATTTAACACGTTTAGAATATGAATGTACGCATAAGTTTGATTCTCTCTATAAAATTAAGACTGAATTGTGGATTTGGTTCTTGTAGTATAGCTAAAATCATGACTAGGTTCCTAAACTCACAAAATTATGGATTTGGTCATTGTGGTTGCCATTTTGTTATGATTATAATTCCTCTCACTATCTTTGTTCACAGTGACTCTGTTAACTTAAGGGCATTTGAGTCTTTTTGCATTTTACTCATATATTTTTACTAAAAACTTAAAAGTAAAATATATTGTATTTAATTATTTATTTTATATTCATATTATACATATTTAATTATTATATTTGAGTCTTTGTATTTTTCTCAGTTTATCTTCCAAGTTCAGTCGTACCCCTCGTTTTTTTTGCATCCGGCCACACCAACAGCTCCGAACACCAAAAAAAAATCGTGGAAATGAGTGTTTGACTTAGGGGCCGTTTATCAAACACTTACCCGGTAAAATTTAAAACCATTATGTACTTACCGGGTAAGATTTTAGTCCCCAAAAACGACATAGTATACAATAATTTACTCGGTAAGCGCTTACCGTGGTAAGAGTCGTCACCTTCACTTACCGGGTAAGACTCTTGATCATTGTCTCGTTCTTACCGGGTAAGATTCTTGGTCCTTACTATATTCATCCGGTGAGGTAATGTTACTTGGTAAGCACTTACCCGGGTAATCGTTTGGTAAACGGCCCCTTATGTTTATATTTTTGATTTTTGTGTTTTTAGTTCTTGATTTAGGTTCTCTCTCATATTCATCTTTATGTTAATTTTCAAGAATTTTGTTGAATGTGTTCCTTAAACAACAACAATAAACTTGTGTAGATTAAACTAGCAAGAAAACCGTACCAAATTTGAAAATTAAAACCAAGAAAACCCTTATAATTTTGAAAAAGAGGGTAAATTTCTTTTAGATCAAAACTCTCAATGTTTCTCATTTGAAGTTTATATATAGGGCTACATCTTCGTTGAATATAACATCATCCTCCCCAAAAACAATAAAATAATGTCATTATACAGATCTTTATGAAGATCTTTATGAATATGAAATAAAATAAATAATTAAATAAAAATAAAATCCAAAAAATTATATTGTATTCTATTTTAAACATGCGAGAAAAAAAATTAAATATAAATATATATATATATATATATAATATGAATAAAAAATAAAATAATTAAATATAATATAGTTACTTTTCAAGTTTGTAATAAAATATATGAGAAACATGCAAAAAGATCAAATGCCTGTAAGTTAATGAAGTCACAGTTAATAGGTATGGAATGGGGCGGAGACCTTAATCCCCATTCTCGATTACTTATAATCATATCCCCATCCTTTATGGGGAAATGAAGATTTTTTTCTTTTCATTTATATAAGTTTTTTTAAATTAAATATATGAGAGATCATACATGTTTAAATCTCAAACATTTTCAATAAACCTAAAACAAAAATGAATTTAATTTAACACAAAAAAACCAACATTATATAAGAACTAATAACCTAAAACCAAAAAAATTCAATTAAATCCAAAAAAACTTAAAGTCACATGTACCAAAAGATATTGAG